TTAATTGAATGCCTTGTTTGTTTGATGTTTGTAAATCTGTAGAACATGTTCATGTTTTGTCTTTTACAAATGTTTGGATGTTTTTTATTCCTCGTGCTTTTTGTTTGTTAAGCTCTGGTGATTTTAAACTTCTATATCAAAAACTTTTCTCTGCAGCAGAACGTGTTTTTGTTTGCAGAGGTTCTGGAACGTTCTCTGAGAAGAAGATGGGCGAACTGGTCATCATCATTTATCACTTGTTTCTTAAAACGTCTGCCTGGAAAGTTTCTATAAATTAATATCAAATAATCGTATTCATTTTGACAGTTTAATAATAGTGTTTTACGTGGCTGTGTGATTATGATCATAATTATTATTATATTAAATATTCTGGATGTCTCACGTATTATTGTGTTCACACTTCAACTCTAACATCCACACAAACTTACCTGATAACTCTGGAAAAGTTTGAAGTGTGTGTGAATTTGAAGAGGTGAAACAAACCGACCAGTGTTTTCTCGTAGCACCTCGTTCAACAGTCTGAGACAGATTCAATTAGAACGAGAGAAAACTAATTCAGCCCAAATGAAAACACCTCTGATGAATATAAAATGCTGTTTATGCTGCTTCAGGCAAGAAACAGGTAGTTTATGTATTTTAATCTTGTTCCAGCCAAACAAAGCTTTAAATAAATAAAGCTTCAGGCTCTTCACTGCTGCGTTAAATGAGCTTTAAATGACAGTGAATTAAACCATCATTAGATATTTACACTGGAGAATCTGTCTGTTTGATTATTCAGACTCAGGCTCGAGATGAAATACAACACAACACATTCAAATACATAGAGATGAGGATTCAAATTAAATTAGAATCTCTGGGTTTGTTAAAGCTCAGAGCTCGTCCACCTGAACCAGAGGATCAATCCGAGCAGCTGAGGTTAGCTGATTGGTCCTCTGGTTTAAAAGCAGCAGCAGAGCTGAGAGAGGGAGACATGGAGGACGAGAGAGGACGAGAGAGGACGAGAGAGGACGAGAGAGGACGAGAGAGGACGCAGGCAGAGCCGAGCAGCATGAAAAGGTTATGTGTAAATATATATATAACATGAATTGAGGACATAAACATGCATTTATTTTATTTTTATTCTGAGTATTTGTGTAAATTAAAAGTTATCATATGAGCAAACATAAACACTGACGTGTCTGTGACAGACTCATGTTGGAAGATACTCACGGTCAATTGATGCCAATAAATTCTCAACACAACCTTTTTCATCGTCAAATGATTTTTCAGAAAATGGATTCTATCGAGATCAGGTTGAGCAGAGAATGGAGGATTGAATTTGTTCTGTGACGAGTTGTAGAACATCCTGACGTGTCTCAGCTGTTTTATTGAGAAGCTGCTGTTGGATCAGGAGGCTCAGGAACTTTCTGAAACACTCTCACAGTAACGAGCTGCTCATCTGACTTCATACATTCATTTCACAAACAGATATAATAACTAAAAACACTGACTTCAACTCCTTCATTTTGTTTTCAGAGCAGGAACTCTCCTGAAACGATACAGGCCTCCTTCTTCTCCTCTTTCTTCTCCTTCTTCTCCTCTTTCTTCTCCTTCTTCTTCTCCTTCTCCTCCTTCTTCTCCTTCTTCTCCTCTTTCTTCTCTTTCTTCTTCTCCTCCTTCTGCAGCTCCTCTTTCTTCTCCTTCTCCTCCTCCTTCTTCTCCTCCTTCTGCAGCTCCTCTTTCTTCTTCTCTTTCTTCTCCTTCTTCTTCTCTTTCTTCTCCTTCTTCTTCTCCTTCTCCTCCTTCTCCTCCTTCTTCTCTTTCTTCTTCTCCTCCTTCTGCAGCTCCTCTTGCCCCGAGGTTACAACTCTTCAGCTCCATGTTCACACACAGCGACTCCATCCCGACTGTGTGACCAGTGGAACAGGGAGAGAAAGAATTCCATCTATCCCAAAGTGGATTTTCAAAACTTAATTCATGTTTGGAATTTCAGCTCCGAGTCGTCATTTAAATGATCCGGAGCGTCGAGAAGCTTCGTAAGTAAACCGTCAAAGTCAAAACACGTCAAACAGTGAATCCTGGTCCCACTCGTAATCAGGCCAAGTCGAACCGCTGCACAATCCAAACCACATAACGCGGAGATGGAGACGAGCCAAGAACCAGGATCAGTTTTCAGACGCTCACGTCCTCCCGCGGCCTAAATCAGCCCTGACAGACGTTTATGTATTATTCTAGCGAGGGCTAATTTTAGTGTTTCCGAAACCCCAGGTGGAAAGTGAAACTTCAGAGGTAGGTGAGCTGCCAGAGGTGGAGGACGACTGTGACTAAGAGGGAGCGTCGGTCATTAGGTTTTCACTGGATGCTGTGTCTGGATAAATTAATTCAGTCACATGTGAATATTTTTCTCCAACATCATTGATTTGTACAGCTTTGTGTTCCGTTCTTAGAAAATGACTTTGTCTCGTTTGGGGTTAAAGTTTTAAATTGTTTGAATCTTTTAATTTATATTTACAGTTACTTAAGAGAAACTCTCAAATATGGAGTAACAGCTATTGTCTTTTCTATATGTTTTCTTTACACCTAATACAACACCTAATTTACACCTAATAATAAGCTTAAGCTTAAATTAGCTTAAAGTAAAACCTTGAGGTCAAAGTCACCATGAACTCTTTGTGCCACAGTCAATAAAGATGGACGACATCAACGGGAGAGAAGCAGAAGAAGGATGGAACCAGGATTTTCAGGTTCGGGGAGTAGACGCACCCGACGGATTATTAGGTTCATGAAACTAAATCCTGCTGACGAAGATGATAACCATATTTAAATGATGTCAATGTGACGCCGAACAAAGAGACGTCTGCTCACGTTTGACTCGTTTACCTGCAGGACACGTAGATGATGGCGGTTTCCGGGACTCGAACCAGCGCTTTGAGGGCCCACTCTGACCGCAGACACACAAATCAACGCACAACGCTTGTAAGATCGAAAGAAAGGGCTGGGGATGAGAAAGTGTGGAAGTTGCTCGGAGCCGGGCCGAGAAGAGCAGCACGGCCGGATGTTAATCTAAAGAAGCGTGGGGGAATGCGATGAGGTCGGCGGCTCCTGGGGATTTTGAGCTATGGGTGCTCCTCAGCGTAAAGACGTGCGTCCCACAGTTCGTCTCCTCTTTCCTCGCTGACCTCAGGCCTTCGGGTTCACGAGAACATTCGGCTCTTATCAACACCGCACCGGCTGATGCAGCGCGACAGGGAGAGCGAGCTGACGATGCTTTATGACAGATACAAATGAAGCGGCGCCATCACACGAAGGTTGCGCAGGATGACGGCTCCGTGCTGTTGCTGAAGAAACAGGCCGGTTGTCACGGGAGGGAGCGGAACGGAGCCGAGCTGTGGGTTTAAGTCAGAGAGGAGGAGCTGATAAGAAGCAGCAGATTCTTAACGCTGAGCAGTTGCTGCTCTGAAGGTTGAACTTTGATAACTGGGTTAAACAGGAACTGAAGGAAAGTTCATCCTCAACTTTGAAAATAACAGTTTGACCAAAACAAGAAAGTGAACTCAGCAGTTTGTAGAAAACATGAACAAAATAAAACCAAATGTGAGAAGAGAAAAGTTTTTAACTTGGCTGAAACAGAACTTTAAACTGAAGTCATTTTTTTAGGAAACGTCTTCAGTTCATCTTCAGGTTGATCATTAAATTATTACTTTAAAATGTTTTCATGCTCTGATGTTCAGAATCTCTGTCCTCAGACTGTCCATCGCTGCAGCTCCTCTCTTCAGCCTCCGTCTCAAACACTTGCTTTTAGCTCTTGTCTCTTTCTTTTTAGATTTCTGAGATTTTTGAAGAAGATGAGTTGTCGTTCTGTTTTAGTGCCTTTCAGCAGATGTGATGGATGTCGTGGCTGCAGCTGAAGTCACAGAGGCCACGGGGGTGAGTGTGGGTGAGTGTGGGTGAGACAACACGGAACATGACCTGCAGTAAAAACGGGAACTGGTGTAAAAAGTCTTTTGACTCATTTTACTTCGTGTGTAGATGAAGTTTCACCACCGCAGAGAACGTTAGTTTGAATCCCAACTTACTGGATGTTCCTTCAGTGTGTCATTGCATGAACAGATGTCTCAGTGTCTCACCACACGAGTACAGTGTGTGTGTGTGTGTGTGTGTGTGTTGCTTCCTGACCCGAGGTCATTGAACACAACACAGACACCAACAGCTGAACACAGGTTACACATTTTTATTAAAGCTACGAGTGAGAAATAAACAAGCGACCTGGTAACATGTAAACCTGCACAGCAGGGCCTGATGTCACCTGTCTAGGTCTAAGTTGTGGCTGGTGATGGATGCATCAGAATATTATAATGATAACAGACACCATCTCCAGCTGCTCTTCATTTTCAAGGTGAAGAACAGGAGCTACAAACTACACGACTGTAACTGATCCTGAGGTCAAAGGGCGACCGTGTCAGTAGGAGTGAGACACGGAGGTGTTAAGACGACATAAATGAGACTAAAGCAAAACCTGAACCTCACCAGGTTCCAGTCCAACCCTAACCCCTTGTCTCAAATAACTCCAGACTCAGCTTTGAGACCCAAACCAACAAATACCTGACGTCCTGACCTGTGGTGCTCAGCTTCAAGCCCATCGGTTCACTAATCTGGAAACACTCCTGACAATCATACACTCGTTTCCAAAAACAGGTTGTATAATTCAAACTGGAGTTTCCAGCTACGACTATATTGTCACAATAGTGTGAAAATATCTTGTTACTGATAAAAAGCTTCTCTTCAGTTGTGTGTCTGTGCACACGAGAATCAAACCACTCTGAGCCTTCAGTGAGGACCAAGCAGGATCCATGTGTACAAACACCAGAAGACGTTTCTAATTTTAGGGGACGTCATTCGGCTGACAGGCCGGAGGCTGGACTCTTATATGCTGCAGGAATTTGCAGCCTGAAGTCAACTTGCCCCCCCACTCCCTTAAAGCTAGCAGGTGATCTGTCAATCTGAGCACCACCCCCGTGAACTGGATCTCTGCTGATCGTCGGACGCTCAGCCGGACACATTTAGCAGCAGCAGGAGAATCCGTGTGTCAGTCGGGCACCGTGACAGAGAGTTACTCTCCTGCTCCATCGAACAAGCGTCGCTCTGTGAGCTGCCACACAACGACCAGCATGGACATTTCTCTGGAGGACGACGGCCGCACCTCGTCTCCCAACGTCGAGTATAAAGGAGCTCATCAAGCCTTCAGGGATCGGTGGAAGGGGACGGACGACACCATGTGTCGCCACAGCATGTCCTTCCACCTGCACCACACACTGAGGAGCGAGTTCTTCGCCAGCTACCTGTACCTGCTGGAGAAGACTCCTCTGGGTAAGCAGGGCCCCACCGAGGGCCCCACCGAGGGCCTCACATTCACGTTGTTATGGAGCGTGCAGCAGAGTTTCAGGTTTTATCTCATGGTGAAACCTGTGCTGATGGTTTTCCAAACATAAAATATAAGTGTCCCAGTGGTGCAGATAATAACATGAGTCACAGACAAGTCGACACATCACAGTCTAATAAGAACACGTAAAAATAAACTGTCAAATAAAGTGTAGGGCACTAAATGAATATATATGTATTATATGTATTAGTTATGTTTCCCACAGTAATATTACTCATGATCATTTTGCACAGTTTAGATATTCTTGCACTAAGTTCTCTAAACTGCAGCAAATCAAATCTTCCTGCATTTAAAACCGTATCTGTTTTATAGACGCTCATAGAAAAGATATGCAGGTAGAATTAATGGTATTGATGAAACCTTGCAAAACGTAAATATAAATCAATACACTCTCTGAATGAGTTTTTATCTTCCTACACTAAGAAGCGAACCTCTGAGCAGTTTGTGTTGCAGACGATAACAAAATGATATTAACACTCACAGTATGATTATTCACAATATAATGCGAAACAAAACTACGGCACATTTCAACACATAAAACGAGAGCGATAATCTGTCGTACAGGAAATCTGCTAGAATCTGAACCAGAGAACACACACTCATGAATATCAGTCCAAATAAATCTGATTTATTTTCATGAAGATCCATTAAAAATATTTCTGGATCCTTCCGCTAAGTTCTGTAGTTTTTGTTGAATCCTGCTGACGAACAAACGCGCGGAGTGAAAACGTCTTTGGCAGACAGCGGCTGGGTCGGATGCGTCCCTGGTTAAGATGTGAACTAATGAGCCTCGAACAAGCTCGACAGTGCATTGTGATTATACTCGTCGTTGTTGGAGGTTGTAAGTCAGAGTGGAAGTTAATCCTCTTCAGGCCGCGGACTCCGTCCGTCATGAAACCTCAGAACAGGACATCGGAGCTGCCGTCTGCTTTGGCTTCAAGACGCCGTTCTCTCTTGCCGCTAACTTGATACCAGCTCCATTAATGGCAGCACCATCACATGTCACAGGGATTATTCCTCAGCTCAATATATTTATCCTGAAAACGACAAGTCTGCCTAAAATAAATCTACTATAACTTGTGACACAGGATTTAAATTTAGGCTGAAGACTTCAGAAGTAAACATAACTCTTCAGGTTCTGTTATCAAGTGATCAGATGTCTCAGATTCTGTTCCTCCGAAAGGTCAAAGGTCACCTGTAATGAGCCGGTTCACTCTGAAGCTGGGAGACAGATGGACGTGCTCTGGACTGACTCTTCTTTGGCAGACGTGGACGTTGTCGTGTTGTTTCTCGTCCCTTGGTCTCGCTCGATATTTCTATACTTACTCTTCCTCTGAGAGTTTCCTGATGGGTCACATGACAGCTGAGTCCAAACTCAGAGGATTCCTCCTTCACTGGCTCAGAAACGACCTTCGTGACCTTCAAACGACCTCCACTCAGACGGCAGGACGCATGGTTCCCCCTCGTTGAAGGAGCTTTTGAAATGAGTCGCTCTAGTTGCTGCAGCTGTGACACAGTCTTCAAATGCAGCCTCCCAAGGATGAACTGAGACACAAGCTCGGAGGATGTGTTCTAGACCGCGAAGTCTGTTTCCTTATCGCTGTCGCTTAGCGAAAGAGCTGCCGTTCTGTCACGTCGAGGCCTGATACGTACACATCTCATCACATTACCAAACAGGTCATCACTGAGGAGCAATGCATCCTGGGATGGGACGGCCTGAGAAGGGGAAGGAGACATTTGTGGGCCTCTTTGAAGGAGCCTTGGAGACGGGACAGTCTCGTCGCTCCGCTGTGACGCAGTCTTCAAATGCAGCCTCTGAACATTCAAGCTCCAGCGTCTCACAAGGAAGTGGACGCCTGGAGGGTCACGTCCTGATTGGTCGGTTTCTGCACCTTGTTTTCAGTGAAGCTTCAGCGCCTCCGCCTCTCGTCCTGATGTTTCTAACATGGAGGACGGCGTCCAGCGGGAAATGAATCCCCCGTCTCAATGTTTCACCGTGGTGTCATGAATGCTGCCTCCGGAGGGTCGTGATGTCTCAGGATTTGTTAAAAGGTCACCGACATCGTTTTATTAAGTTCCGTGATTTTAACCTTTTATCAAGTGGTGACAGGAAACATCTGTAAATACACGACGCTGTGGACGAATCAATCAGCGCCTCATCGTATATCACAGAACAGCTGAGCCCAGGGTAACAGAAGCACAGCAGGTCCTTATTTATAGTCGCCTGGTAATCCAATCATCATCCAGCATTTCTCTCCACGCACACACACACACACACACGCACACACACACACACACACACACACACACACACCGTATTGATCTGGATCTGAATCTTTACACATGAAACTGTACAAACGACACTCGTGTTATTTGTTGTGTTCGTGTTCCACATTGTCGTCTCGTTTCATTTCAAACCAGAAATAACCATATTTGGAGCAGTGGAGGGTGGAGCCTAACTGATCATGCTGCTGACATCATCACTTATAAGTCAATTAACACAATTTACAATCAGATCTAGATCGAAGCTTCGTGATTGTGACTCATTGTTGTTATGATTTAACGAGCACGTTTTAAATGATTCATCTGATCCTTTTTCTTTCTGCAAATATTGTAGAGTTAGATTCTCTAAACGTGTAAATACAACACTCCGACGTCAAAGCTCATGAGCACGACGACTTCTCAAATCAGGAAAACGTTTGTTCAGACGATTGGGGGACAATTGGACGGGACGAGCTGTCAAAGTGTTTTTATATAAACCACCAAATTAGAGGAAAACACATCTCAAAGTCTAAAAAGTCAAATGAGGGACCCAGTTTTTAAATGTCCTGTTTCTGTGTCCCACAGTGAAGCTCTTCCCGGTCACCTGCGAGTACATCAAGGGGGAGAAACAGTTCTACTACCGAGCTCAGCAGTTCTACGAGGACACGCCGGCCTCGGAGGAGGGCATGATGGGAGATTTTGTGGAGATATCCAACGTTGATCTGGAGGGGTCCAGGCAGTTTCTGAAGAGGTTTGTGGTGAGTGCAGCTGAACATTCATCCTCAGGCCCTGCTCATCACATGTCCAGGTTCTGTTACATGAAGGTCAAAGGTCAGGGTGTTTCTGCTGCCTCCGGTGAGGGTGAGACACAGATGGACCAGAACCTCATGATCACATGAGACGTTCTGCTGCTGCTCCATCAACTCACACTCGTTCCTGAGGCTTCTGTCCACGCGTGTCTCAGTTTACTCCTGCATGTGTATCTGGCTGTGAATTCTCATGTCAGGGTCTATTTTGGACGAAGAATTCATCGTCCTCCGTCCACAAAGAGAACTCCGTCTTGTTTCATGTGGGTGGAGGCGTCGGTGCAGTTTATGGTGGAGGCACAGACTCGATGCCAGCTCCATAAACACCCCGACAGAGCGGGCGGAGCCACAGCCGCTAATCCCTTTCTACTGTGGTCACTTTAACGAGAGCTAATTTGCAAACAGTGGAAAAGGAGGCGACATTTTCTAATTGTTCTTTGTGAGTAATAATATCAACAGTTTTATAAATTTTAATGTGTGTGTGTGTGTGAAGTTTTTTTTAGATGCTTGGAGACGTCGAGTGTTAATCCAGTAAATGAGTTGAGCAGGTTATTTGCAGGATCAGTGTTACAGGAGCTCTAATTATAAACTGGACGTGTTAAAGGAGCTGCAGTCGACAAGTGTCGATTCTTCTTCTGCAAATACAACAAATCCACCAACTCTCACCTGACCAATAACAACATACGTTCATTTTAACACAACAACAGAAACATAACTTAGCAAAGTCCACTATTCAAACACACGTTCTACAAAACAAGGACACAGTCACAATAATACTTGAAGCTCTGAACAGTATCTATCCACTATGTGTGCAGCGCCGACAGGTTTGTAGTTTGCCGACATTTCTTCTTCTTCATCACTCAAATGTTAATATGCAGCTCTCGTGCTGAGAACTGATTGTTCAAAACTCAGTGCAGTGATGAAGAGGAGGCTTCACTTCTCTCGTGATGATGACATCGTGGTGGATTCTGTATTTGTTGATAATGTCATTAGTCCTCGTTCTACACTAATTAACTCAATCTAATGAAACCAGATCCTGTACGAGTGTGAGCTCGGCTGCACATCATCGTTTTTTCAGCTCCTGTTTGAACCTGACGTCTCCATTTGGAACAAGTGCAGCAGGAGAAGATCTAGAAAGTGTCCAGATTAAACTGAGCTCCACGTGCACGGAGCAATATGGCAGTAATTCACCGGGAGCCTCCTGTAACCAGCTCCTCAGGGCCGCACCTCTCATTCAATCACACACTGGGGCCCCTGATGTGGAGGGGTTGGAGTGAGGTCAGAATCCCAAATGCAGAGGGAGAAAAAGCAGCGTGATTCAAGAGAGTAGAGTTTTTGTTCCCCTGTGGTAAAGTTCAGAGTTTCGTTGACCTGAGGAACTGACGTCTACGCGTTTGTGGCGTCGGTGCGTTTGAGGTCCGACATCTGGCTCAGAAATTCTGCAGAGCCCAGAGGAGCTCATGGATATGCTAATAAGATGCTGCGGGGAAGCAGACATTTTGTTTTCTGGGAAACTTAAACTCAAGTCTTATGTTTTGTGATTTCGCTTCAGTTTTATTACAAGCGATTATTGTGAGTTGACGTATTTTGTCGTGAACCCACAGGGTCCAGGTGGGGCCGGAACACACTGCGCCCTGGACTGCGGCTCCGGGATCGGGCGCGTGACCAAAGGCGTCCTCCTTCCTGTGTTTGAGAAAATGGAAATGGCGGACATGATGGAGCACTTCCTGCTCCACGCACACGAGGAGTACCTGGGCGACGACGCCGACCGCATCGAGACGTACTACTGCTACAACCTGCAAGAGTTCACGCCTCCGAAGAACAAGTACGACGTCATCTGGATGCAGTGGGTGGCGTGTAAGTGTCCCAGCATTGAGTCCGCTTTACCTGTGTGAGGGGGCGTGTCCTCTGGCCTGTATGATTCAGGAAGGATGTGTGGGGATGAAATGGAGAAATAATCTTTATTTTCATGTCAGTGCTTCAGTCAATCAGCTGAAGCAAAGTAATCTACACTCAAAGATCCCTGCAGAGGGCGCTGTCTCATCTTTGTTTTTTCTTCAGGTCACCTGACAGACAAGGACCTGATGAACTTCCTGTTTCGCTGTAAAAAGAGCCTGCGTCCGAACGGCGTCATCATAATGAAGGACAATATGGCGCGGCAGGGCTGCAAGCTGGACCCCATCGACAGCAGCATCAGCCGCCACCTGGACATCATGAAGAGCATCATCGCCAAGGCCGGCCTGGAGGTGCTGGACGTGGAGATGCAGGAAGGATTCCCTGAAGTCATCATGCCCGTCTGGATGGTCGCCATGAAATAGACATTATGCTGTTAAAGTTTCACATTGTTGTTTCTCAAAAACCAGGAGCAAAATCCAGCCTAAAGCAGAATTCACATGTTATTCCAGTTCTGCTAAAGTCTTTAAGATTCGTGATTGATTCTCTAAAACCTACAACAACACAGCGAGAACTCCTCACGTCATCAGGAGATAAATCCTTAAACGGCAGCGTGGACGGGGAGATGACACCCGGCGTGACTTTATGGAGACAGGAGCCTCTTTCCTGCTCCGCACTGACATGAAATAAAGCTTCAGTGGAACATTAAACCTCCACAGAAGCACTCTGTGTGTCCACAAAGACACTCTGTGATTTACTGTCCACCAACCACCACCAGGTTCTGGAGCCCGACGACATCAAACGTCGGAGCCTCAATTCTCTGTGGGAGAAGTTTGTTCCTGTCGGAGGATCATTGGAATAACATGTGAATTTAGATTTACCGTTGGGTTTGTCCTCCCACTGAAACATGTTGCACTGCGGCGTGTCAGTAGCGTGTCATAGAGGGCTGGATTTAAACCGTTGTGCGGAATTAACATGTGATCTGCATGTACATATTTCATGTGGACGATGACGTGTGGCCTTTGCAGAGAGAGAGCGTCTCGATCTGCAGAGTGAGGGTCATGTGACATGGAGACAAACTGACGCTGTGATGTCGAGTCGTTGGGTTTGAAGTTTGAAAGATCAGCTTCAGGCCTCAGGCGACGTGAGAACCTGCCGATGGCACAAACTCACAAACTGTGTTGAAGAATCTGAGTCAGATCCTCACAACCCCCGAAATCAAAATCCAAGATGGCTGCTGCACGCGTTAACACAGAGACTGTAAATAAAGAAGAATCTCCACTTCCACCTGTTGTACAAACGGGAAGATAAAATATATCTCGGGTACAAACGCTGGCTTCTTGAGCCCTGACGTGTTTCACAGTCGGAGTCCGTGCAGCAGCGACGGTGGAGCTGTGGTGTCTGTGTTTCCTGATCCAGATGAAACGTCCACAGACCAAGTGTTGAAAACAAGAGGCAGCTTCAGTGTGTTGCTTTCCACTGCAGGAGATCAGCTTCTTCTCACAGCCTGCGAGTCACAGGTGTAAATATGAATTCAGTTTTCATGTAACACTGTGTTTTATACTTTGCTTGTAACATTGCATTTTTATATGGACTTCTCTTGTGTAGTGTGAACATGTAGAACTGTGCTGCTTCACTTCCCTGAACAACACTGAAGTTTCACTGTGTTTCTAAAACTCTGAAAGCATGTGGAGGCAGTTTTATGATTTTTTTTAATGCTCTTTTCACATATAATGTTTTTCATCCCTGTTCCAAACAAAGACTAATGGGATTATAGCAGGTAATCACCTTTGGTTATTATAATCAAGGCTGGAACATAAACGTTTTACAATTTCCCCTAAGTATTCCGACAGCGCGGCCGCTCCACGCCCCCCCGACAGTGACCGAGCGGCAGTCTTCCACAAAACACACGAGATAATTGAGATCCTCTCAAATCGTTATGGTAATTCTGCTAAGTATTATTACTGTTATTATTTTTTCAGACTAACAGTAGAAGCAGCACATTGTTTTGGGCTAATGACTTTCAGCTGGGCCCTGAGGTGGATATGGTGGTGGGGGGGGTGATTATTTCCTGATTTTGACAGACAGTGCCGGCTTTCATATCTGCCCTGGCTTCATTTCAGGCCTGTCACATGTTGTCAGCATAAAACACATCCAGGAGTCGCCTCAAATATTCAGCGTTTGCGTGCGTAAGCGCTCGACAGGAGCGGAGCGGGCTGGTTCCTCCCCGAGCCTCTCATGAAAGGATAGTTTGTCAGTGAGTCGCCTGGCACTGAACAAGTACAACATCATACGACCGTTGAAGGCGAGATAGCGTGAGATGATCGCCGCAGCGTCAGAATCACTCTGGAGACACATTTTCCACATCCAGTATGCATTAAAGATCAAAATGCCTCAAAGTTAAACTTGTAGGTAATTTTTCTTCCTCTCTCTGCAGCAAATAGCAGCCAAATGTGCTGTCACCTTTTCAGGAGAGTTTAGCGTCGCTGACAGTCAAGCTGATCGTTTCTAATACGGCTCAATGTCCTCCGCAGCCGCTCGGCAGCAGTTTGAATATATTAGCAGCGGTAACACTAATTTGTCCCGTCACATCAGCAGAGCAGAGGTTTGGGCCCGAGTCCAGAGCGAGTGTATCTCCGACAGCTGACAGAGACAGGAGCGAGACAGAGAGCTCGGGGGACAGATGTGACCAACACTGAGTTTGTGTTTCGCAAGTGCGAGCACCTAAATATGCAAAACACAAGTGGGAGCAGTTCATCCTGCAGCGCCGAGGGCTGAAGTCAATGTCAGAACACGGGAAAGTAAACGGGCTCCGTTGTTGGCGGGTCGAGACACATGCTGAACATTCTGTCTGGTTCACTGGGAATCGCAGCAGCTACAAACTGATGACTGGACTTCTGACTTTATTGGACAGTGGACAAGATGGAGACAGACAGGAAATGAGGACAACACACAGCAGAGGGACATTGTACTTACTGTATGAAATTCATTTTAAACAGTTTGTGGATGCATCGCTCTGTGGCAGAGGAACATTTATAAAGTGACGGAGAATCACTTCAGCTCAAAGTGTAGATTCAACATTCAGAGATCTTTATTGTCATGATGCTCAGACACAATAACGTTGTCGGAGGCTTCTCACTCCAGTCGGGATATAAAAGAGGAAAAATATAAGAATAGGTTTATTTACAGTTATCTGTGCCTCAACAAGAGTACTACTTAAAAAACTTTTGACAAGGGAAACAAAACGTAGAAGCCTCAGAGACACGCGTGAGGATCCGTCTCCCGGGACGGACACAAGTGCAGCAGATGCCTCGTGTAATGGGGAAGTATTTGCAGCACTGGTTAGAATAAACAGATTGTAACATGATGGAAGGTAAATGAGCTGAGGAGTTATTGTCAGTAAATATCTGAGGAGACATATTGTTTATCAAGCAGTCTCGCTGTGATCACAGTCCACGATCCATCATTATGACCTCACTGCTGGATACTCGTTGGTGAAATCTAAATTGTGTGAGTCTGAAAGGAGATGAAACCTGAAATATTCTTTCTGTAATTTATCAAACAAGACTAAGACAGACGAATAAAATCTACCTTGAAGTCACTACTTTCGTTTCATGGGCTGCAGTGACCACTTCAAGCTTCTGGGGCTGCTGAGGACACTTTATTGTCCCTCTGTGTGGAAGGACGTGGTGGTGGCTGCGCTGCCGCTCCCGTCCTCATGCAAAGATAGTAAACACCCCCAGGAAGCTCCAGAGGAGACGTTTTCCAGAGCGGTGGCATCAGCTCAGACAGCCGGAGCTTTCATCCTGAAAAGAATCTTTGTGGAATCGACAGTCGACAGAAACCTCAGTCGTCTCTGGAGTCGCGATGGTTTCAGAGACAGAGAGAGAAGAGCCTAACCTCTATTCCCTGGGAGACTTCAGACCAGAGGAATGTGCTTTCTCTTCATCTCTTGTTCTCACAGTAACTCATGTCACTTAAAGAAACAGACCTGGGGATTCTTGGTCTGTTCCTTCTTTGGCTGCCCGTGCAGGTTTTAACTCTCGCAGCGTGCCGTCGAGGGTCTGACGGTGGGTTTTCAGCCTCGCTCAGCTTTCCTCGGCTCAGAGGGCAGGGATTAGTTACACAGGCCGTTTTTAGGGCCAGCGTCGAACATGTAATATTTCATCCAGCGATGTGGGTTTGGAGCCGGGATCAGGTGCGGCTGACTGTGAGGGTTTAATCTCCGAGCCAACGATGAACAAACGATGACAAATGTTCACATGTAAAACTGCCCTGAAGTTATAACTTAAGCTCAATATACCAAGATCAGAAAAAACTGCTCACTGGACGAGAAACTGAGCTCCGACCAAGAACGAATCATTTCTCTGAAAATGAGCAGCGTTGCATGGGAAGCATTGCTCACAACAACAACAGGGAGAGGAATTTATTCCCATCTGGAGCTGGTGTGTGAGTGTGTGTGTGAGTGTGTGAGTGTGTGTGTGTGTGAGTGTGTGTGTGTGTGTGTGTGTGTGTGATTCACCGTGTAGCCATGCAGGGTCAGTGTGTTACTGGCTCTATGTGCAGACCCAGAGTTATACATACACACTATACACTGTAAAAATGTGGTGCAACCTCTCTGCACTGTGCATGACCGTGTGTGTGTTGTGTGCGTGCATGTGTGTGTCTTCCACATGTATTACACAACACAAAAACAACAGATGTTTGTGCGACAACAATTCTTGTTGGAACAATTGTTTGTTTTATTGAACATCGATATGAAATCAAAGTGACGTTAAAGAAGACACAACATATATATATCAAACACACACACACACCAACAACCAGCTACAGATGTAACACACAACCAGCTTCACATTCTCAGACTCACACACACACACAGACACACACAGACACACACTGACACACACGAGGACAAAGAACACAGGGAACAACAGCAGGAGAACACTGGACCACATCCTCACACAGCAACACATGTTTCTGTTCAAGTGACAAAGAACTTTTATTGTGACGATGAACAAAGGAGGAAGTTGAGATGATGTCGTTGTCGAACTGACAGTCCAGGTCAGGAAGGTTCCATGACCTCATCCACGGGGGCTGCGCTTCATTCGGTTGCCATGGTTACATCATGATGGTATTACGACCAGCATCAGCACCTTCAGGTACAGTACTCCACAGTACTACAGTACTACAGTACTCCACAGTACTCCACCTTACTACAGTACTACAGTACTCCACAGTACTACAGTACTACAGTACTCCACCTTACCATAGTACTACAGTACTCCACAGTACTACAGTACTACAGTACTACACCTTACCATAGTACTACAGTACTCCAGTACTCCACAGTACTACAGTACTCCACACTAGTTCAAATGCTCCACATGAACGTCCTCGTGGTTCAAACATTATATCGTCGGAGGTGAAGACTGCAGCTGCTTCCTCTTCCTCTTCCTCTTCTTCTTCTTCTGTGGTTTAATGTGTCTCTACTTCCTGTGATTGGTCCAAACTGTCCAACAAAGTGTTTTCACTGTGAACCATCAGAACCAGGTTCAGTTTGATCCGGACCCAGAACTCCTCGTCTGGTCTGAGGAACCTGAGGAAGTTCAGCTTCGAACTGAAGCTCTGAACCAAACCAGTGCGACAGCTGATTCAATCACCTGGTGCTGATCCACCTCCACTTCTCTCCTGCAGCTCCCTCCATCATCCCTCCATCATCCCTCCATCATCCCTCCATCATCACACCGTTTACATCAACCCTTTCCAAACCTTCCTCGTCTCTGCTCATGTAGAACTTGATGATGATGATGATGATGATGATGATGATGATGATGATGATGAAGGTGCCCTGTCCTTAACAAAGTCACCAGGATCTTAACCATCGTTTTGTCGCATCACTAAATACATCGTCCTGCTGATGCGGCCGTCAGATCACAGAACTCCTCAGGGCGTCGACAAGTGAAGAGTTCCCATGATTCCACAGTCACAAGTTGAGCCGAGAGGAATGTTTGACTCGTCCACATACATTTGGCCAAGTGTTGTGTGTTGTCCTGTAAACAAAAACATTTTTCCACTGACAACAACACACACACACACACACACACACACACACACACACACACACACACACACACASACACACACACACACACCACAGATGATGGCATGTGTGTGTGTGTCTGTGTACATTCATTCATATCATCCAGAACAACACACACTTCACTTCCCTGACTGAGGGCTAAGAGCTCCACCACCCAATTAGATTCACCCGCAGTCCACGGCGTCGCCCCCCGCCCTCCTCGTTGCCATGGCAGCGTGTTGTCTGACATGTGGAGCCACTCTCGGGGCCCCGTGCTCTCGGTGCCCTTGGAAGCTCCGTCCCTCGACGCTGGTTTCAATTCCATAACCTTTCAGATCACGGAGTAATGAGTCGAAATGGCTCGCACATGCACATTATGCCCGAATGTGTTTTCCACCGAGCCGACCCACTCCCACCATTACACCTCCTCTCCCTGCGTGACTCAGAGCGGCGGCCCAGCGAGGCGGAGGTTCAGAGCGTGATGTGTGTTTGTCGGGAGTCAAGCGTGTGTGTCAAATGTGTGCGATGGGAGTTTGTCAAAGTAGATTTAAAGGATCAAGTTTCCTCTGTGTTCATCTGACGGAGACTCTGAGCATGTTTATCTGTTGG